AACTATTAATCCTGTTTATTTTATTTTTTTTGTAATTAAGGTTACAGACAACAATAGGTAAAAAGAAAAATTCTAAATTCAATATCCATGGTCAATAGGTGGTATCATGTAGTCTGATTATGTTTTTCCCTGTAGAATCAGAAGGACTCCTGAGGGAATTATAAAAATTCATTGTTAACATTATCTGGAATAAAAATTAAAAAAGAAAAAATCCTAGAAATGAAAGGTACTTTAATGCTTATCTAAGTCCACTCTGTCAACAAGAGCACAAATTCAGCCAAAGGTCACCTCCAAGAACCGCATCTAATTTTAGGACAGATAAGCTAAATAACTCTAAAGGTAAATTATCACTGTTAATATTTTCTTCCTTAAATTAAGCAAAATAGTACTACTCATATAATCTCTGCCATTATTTATTTATTTTGAGTTTTAAAGTGTTGTTGTTGTTGTTATGTGCCGTCAAGTCAGACCTGACTCATAGCAACCCTTCCTTGAGTTTCCAAGGCAGTATCACTACAGAAGTAGATTGCTCCATCTTCCTTCCCAGGAGTGGCTGGTGGGTTTGACCCCATCTTCCTTCCAAGGGGTGGCTGGTGGGTTTGAACCACCAGCCTTCTAGTTCACAGGCAAGTGCCTTAGGCACTAGGCTACCAGAGCTCCTGAGTCTTAAAGTAGTAGTAGATTTTCATAGACTTTCTTTACATGGGAAACTTTTAAATATTTCAAGATTAAGTACATACTTTTTTCTAATCTTCAACCATTTTTCTCTATATAGGAGGATTCCCAGGCTAATCACCTTCCTGGAAACCATCCTTGAAGGTCCTTAGAAATTCCTATACTCTTCTAGTTTGATGCATAATGTTGCAAAGTTGGGATAAGATTCAATAGAGAACAGTCAGAAGGATGATCAATTATGTATTAGTACTAATATTCTTGATGTTCTGTAGCTGTGAAGGTCAAGTCAGAGGAAATGTTCCTTATTACAGCCTATATGATTTTGATTATAGTCTTATATTATTTTAGAATTTATATTTTTATTAAATGTTATAATTTTTGAGGAACCCTGATGGTACAATTAAAGCACTCTGCTGGTAAGTGAAAGATTGGCACTTTGAAATCACCAGTTACTGTGGGAGAAAAATGATTTTCCATCAAGATTTACAGCCTTAGAAACTCTATTGGGAAGTTCTAGTTTGTCCTGTAGGGAAGTTGAGTCAGAACTGACTCTATGGCTATGGGTTTGGTTTGGGTTTTTGTTATAATTTGCAAATGATTTTCACATGAATTATTATATTTATTTTTTTAACAATTCTTGAAGGTAGATTGGGTCAAACTATTTGTCCTTGTTTATATATTTGGAAACTGAATTCAACAGTCTTAATGTGTTGTTATTGTTGTTTTCAGTTGCTATCAAGTCACCTTCCACTAATAGTGGCCTTACATGTAATAGAACAAAATGGTATCTGGTCCTGTACCATCCTAGCAACATGGGGAGTTCATCTTCCAACATTGTATCAAGCAGCATTCTGTTTTAATCCATACATAGGGTTTTTATTGGCTCATTTTTGGAAGTAGATTGCCAGGCCTTTCTTTCTAGTCTGTGTTACTCTGGAAGTGGATTTCCACTGAAATTTGTTTACCATCGGTGACCCTGTTCATATTTCAAACACTGGTAGCATAACTTCCATCATCATAGAAACATGCACACAACTATGGTATGTCAAACTGCCTAACATTGGAAGAGTCAAGATGAGAACTACATTCTTTTTATTTTACCCTAATTTAGTATCACTTAAAGGGTAAATTGAAGGAGCTCTGGTGGTGCAACAGTTAAATGCTTGGCTACTACCTGAAAGGTTAGAGGTTCAAACTCACCAGCCACTTTGGGAAAAAAATGTGACAGTCTACTTCAGTAAAGATCACAGCCTTGGAAACCTTATGGAGCAGTTCTACTCTGCCCTATAGGGTCATGGTGAGTCAGAATCCACTCAATATAAATGGGTTAAAAGATAAATTAGGACATTAGGATTGATTGAGACTGCTTTATTATTATCTGCTAATGTACATACAGACAAGTGTGCACACACACATGAAAATATGCATTTAGAAGGATCTTTAATGTAGCAATAACTTGGAGGAAATAACAAGAACATTGGCTTGTATATCATAAGCAGTGAGTTCTCTTACTAAACAGCCAAGCTCAGACTATTGTTTCAAAGTTCCAGTTATAGAGCATATAAAATACAAATCCAACCTGACATTTAAAATTTTATGTCACCACCGTGAAACTATTTTTTACCCATTTCTAAATGCTTTGACAAATGAATCCAATTCTGTGAGGAGAAAGAATCATCAACCTTGTTCACTTTTATAAAGATATGATAACAATAGATATGTAAACGATTGAAACATTTAATAGGATATGAAAACATTAATCTTGGCATACTTTTATTTTACACAATTGTGTTTGTCCTGTGCAGAATCTTATCTCTCTCTACTAAGTATATTGAAAAACATGACTAAGAAATTTTAATTTTTGTTGTTTTGTATTGATTATAATACCAATAAAATAACATTAACTTTTACTAAGTAGGCAGATCATATACATATAGTACATATACATATCATATAAGCTACATATACAAGCATCATTGAGCTAATGAATCGAAATAGGTTGTCTGTTTAGTGTAGTGTATGGTTTGTAAGTAAACAATGATGGTTTGATGATTGTTAATAAACCAATATGTAAATGATACACTTCAGAATCTAAACCCTGGCATGAGTTTATTTATTCAGTTCATTATCTGTGTGTTTCTATGTATGTGTGTACCTGTGTATGTTTTACAGCTGTTATTTCAAGGAACCAAGAAGGGCCAGGAGAAATGGGAAAGGCTGTACTGATTCCGAAAGACGACCAGGAGAAAATGAAAGAGCTCTTTAAAATCAATCAGTTTAACCTTATGGCCAGTGATTTGATTGCCCTTAACAGAAGTCTTCCAGATGTAAGATTAGAAGGGTGAGTTTACAAGTGTTACATAATTTTATATTTTAGTAATCTCCATATTACAATGTATTTCAGAACTTTAGCTGACTCAGGTTATTTCAGTGCTAGAACTAAATGATTCTAAATCCCTATGTTATAGCAAGAATTTAATGTGCATGCACATACTGAGAAATAATATTACCTGCAAAGACATTCCAGAATACATAGACCTAGTAAGGTTTTACTCATGAGCTGTTTTTGTTTTGCTTTGCCTTGTCTTGCCACAAACAGAGCAAACATGCTCTTGATAGACTTTTCTTGCCTACATAGAAAGCTTCACCAAATTTGCTTTGAAAATATATATGCTTTGGTATTCCAGTGTGAAAATATGCAACTGCTTCCATGATTCTTTGGCCCGTTGTAATTTATTTATTATGAGTTCTAACAATTTATGCAGCTATTTATAATTAAGATGTTTACTTATCATCAAAGAAGAAGGAAATAATAATTCTGCATGGAAAATTATGTTGAAAAACTCAACTTATGTGTGATTAACTATAAGCTATGCTCTGGGTAGTTGATCATATTTTAAATGGATGTAATAAAAATAAGAATATTTAGTAGTAGTATTGCCATCCTAGTATATAATCCTTATACAGCAAACTCTTAGCATCCACTAAAGATAGTGTTTTGAGATTTTGGGAAATCTACAAGTTTAAAAACATGTTCCAGGATACATTTATATGTGATTGTGTGTGTCTGTGTGTGTATAATTTGTATTTATATATATATATATATGTATATATATATACACAATACATATTCATATATATTTTTATATAAACTCGTAAGTAATTTAAATAAATGTTGCCATCTTTATATTTATATTATTATTGTAGTGATATTAACATCATATTTACTAAATTTGTTTTTTTTTTCTTCCTGAATTATTTCAAGTAAGACCAAATGAGAGAGACCCAAACCTTGCTGAGATGCTTTTTGCCAGAAGGTTCATTTGGTAGCTAAGTAACTGGCTTTTTTGTAAGCTTTTAAAATGTCTTTTCAACAAAATCACAAATAACTACATGTTATGGACATTTTTAGTCCCCAGCAAATGGTCAAAATTTTAAATTTTAAATTTGTGCATTCCAGAGACCTCATGTAATTGTATATGTAATTCTATCCATATGTATATATGCTTGCTTGTATCCATGTAGATATATTCACATCTTTGAAGATATTAATAAGCATATTCTTCAAAATAATTTATAGCATTTTCAATGCTAACTTTATAATTGGTATAATATTGAATTCATTATTTTGTCTTATATACCAAGGTGGAATAAAACAGGTAAATTTGGTAGATATATTCAGGAAAACCATGTAAACACTACCTCAGATTTAAATATATATACATATATATATATATATATATATATACTTCCAACTATAAGTATATAAATTAGTTAAATATTATATCAGATCTAGGATTTTTATGGTGAAAATTGCTTTAATAGAGAGTAATGGCTTACAAAAAGAGAAAAAAAATTTCATTAAGCAGTCATTTCAAAGATTTGTGGTGAATGGTATTTTTTCTTTTAAGAATCACTTAGCATATTAATTGCTTGAATAATTCAAGTCTAACAGTGGAATAACAGGACATTGTAAATTGGAAGGTTTAAATTGCTTCATATAAAAAATATAATATTCGATGTCATTATTGCTTGAATTCTGAGATTCTACAAATAATCTATAAAATATTTGTGAAATAAATCATTTTATATTTTCTTTTTATATTATATCACAATGAGCTACCAGTAAGAAAACAGAAATACCATCCAAAATCTGAGACAAATCATAAAGTGATTCAGGTTCACTAGGGACTGTTGCAAGTCATCTTGAATGACTCACTCATGTAATTGCCTGGAAACAACTAATGTGGAACAACACACCATGAATCAGATATCCAAACTGTTATTTAAAAGATGTTGAAATATGTTAACATTCATTTGATCTAGAAAGCTTTTTTGTTTTATTTTAGCATTAGTCAATTATAGTTCATTTTTTAAATAGTTACATTAAAAAATATACATGAACACATTAAACTAGCCAGAATGAAGACTGAGATAAATGATATAAAGCTGTAAAAAATGATACCACAAATAACTGATTAAAAACTAATTTTAATTTATTTTGGTGGAAAACTTGAATTGATATTTAACAAGCATCCAACCTACCCCAACATTGAACTCATTCAATCATGTAAGCATGTTTTTCTATAAGGTATTCTTAAACTGGTTTGATTAAATTTAGAAAATTGTCCAAACATTTTAATGTTGTGCTGCCTTAACATCAGTCTACAAATATTTGAAGATGTGCTCAGAGGGATAAATCTAAGTAAACATCCCATGTTTTCACAGAGTAGAGACCAGATAAAAATAGATCTTCTTGGAGATAATTGTGATAAACATGAAGACAAATTGGTTATGGGATATCCATTCCTATGGAAGTTTAAATGCTTATGTTGATTGATTTAAATATATTTAATTTATCAGCATATCTAATACATTTATATAACTCTTAATTATTTTAGAAGCATAATAAGATAGCACTACCTATATATGCTGCTTTAGTATTTTAGGAGAAATCAAGACTGGAGGCCTTAATAAACTATTTGTTAAATTCCCTCCATTACCAGGATTTTTGTTGTAGTCTGTATATATGTATAAATAAAATATCAGATAGCTGTAACTAACTATCCCTCTGCTCATCCCCTACACATTAAAAAAAAAATAATGAAATTCTATGTTTATTCAGAAATTTGAGCAAAAATTGATAGTAAGTTTATGAGTTGGATAATTTATGTCCCACCACTAGTGATTTCTTAGCATATTTTCTAAGATTTGTAAATTTATATGTAGTTTTACTTTAGAAAACAAGACCTAAATACTTCTCTTTTCACCAAGAAAGTAAATAGGTATGATTTTGTTTTGTTTTATTTTGTTTTTTATCTTAGTATTTAGTGAGAAAGACGGAAGAAGAGTTTGAGAGAGGAAGAGAGAAAGGAGTTACCAAGATAAAGAAACATGATCAGAGAGATTAAATACATATTTTGAACACCTAATATATGCCAAGGTCTGCTCTACACGCTAGGGATATATTTAGCAAAACTAATTCCCTACCCTCTGCTTCGTGAAAGTGAGAACAAGTAAAAGATCTAAGGTGTAGAGAATAGAGCAGTAAGAGAAAACCTCTTTGAGAAACTCACATATGAATGGCTTGCATATAACTTAAGCATTTTATTATAATTTCCACTTATTTATACACAGAACTGTTAAATATTTACTGTGTTCCTAGAGCAGACAATGTGAGAAATATAATAGACCTAACCCACTGAGAAGGTACCCTGGTGGCACAATGATTAAAGCACTTGACTGCTGACTGAACGGATTTGAAGCCACCATCTAGTCACCATCTCCTTCCATAAATATACACAACACAGCCTTGGAAACCCTATGGGGCACTTAGAGTCAGAATAGACAGTGGATTTTGTTTTTTGCAACCCACCAAAAGGTGCTTTAGAAGAAAGTCTGATGATCTGCCTCTGAAAAGTCACAGCCTTGAAGATCCTACAGAATGCAGTTTTACTTTGCATACAAGTGGTCACCATGAGTCAGAATCAACTCCACAGCAACTGGTTTAGTTTTTGGGTTATGGATATAAAGTTTCATAAAGATACAAAAGCAACTGTACAAACATTAAGCAAGTTCATAGACACATACATATATGTATTATTTTTAAAGTAGTGATTGAATTTTATAAATACATTATACGATTTTGTACATGTATAAATGTACAAAGACATTTTATAAAATGGTCTACTCGTGCATGAACCAGTGACAATTATACTTTTGTTTGCTACAACATCTTAGTAGCTGTGATAGTTGGAGCTGTGTGTCAACTTGGCTTGACCACAATTCTGTGTGGTTTAAGCTGTTGTGATGTGGGCTGTTTCAATGATGAGATCAGATGTATATGTTCTGAGCAGCCAATCCATTGAAAGGGAGTTTCACTAGGGGTGTGGCCTGCTTCTGGTATATTTATGGACATCCTGGGAAAAGAGATACTCCTCTGTGGATCGGGATTCTGTTGTGCTGCCTACAACTGTACATGAGCAAACAATCCACCATTCGACCTGGAGATCTTGGATTCATCATTCGTTGGAGTCAACAGCCAGTATACTGCCTGCCAACCTTGAGCTCCTCAGCCCTTGCAGCTGCGTGAGTGGGAAAAGCCTCCAGCTTGACGTTTGATCCAAGAATTTGGGACTTGCCAGCTTCTATAACTGTGTAAGCCATTTTCTAAAGTTAAATTTCCTTTTCTCTTATATATAAGCTTTAATGGTTTTGTTTCTCTAGAGAACCCAGTCTAACACATTTAGTACCAAGAGTGGTTCTAGAGAGAACAAATCATAAGGATGGACTTCCTAAATTGGTTCTCCAATTTGATTAATCTTAAAGACACTAGTGACCCACCTCTGTTAGTAAAGAGAGCCCTGCTAGTCCCTGGTATGAAGTGGCAACCTTAATATGCAAAATAGCACCACCAATAGATCAAGTATTTATGAGAAGTGAGGCTCTGGGTGATTTCATATTTGAAACTTTTCTGAAATTTTGTCAGCATGAGGAGTATAAGGAAGCTGGTTGGTTGGTCCTACTTACACTAGACAAAGTGGTGAAAGAGCAAGATGAGCTCAGGGCTGCTGAGTCACAGCTTAAGTGCTGCATAAAAGACCTCAATGTTTCCATTGTGCTCTGAAAGAATGCTTATTTCTTCTAGTAACAGAGCTGATATTGCCAAAAACCAAAGCCAGAGTCTTATTGTAAGGGTGGCTGAATTACAGTGCCAATTAAATTACCAGCCCAGAATGGTGTCAGAAGTTAAAGTGAGGGCATTGATTGGGAAAAAATGGTAACTTGAAATCTGGAATGGGGACATATGGGAAGATCAAGAAGATTAGGATATGGAGCCTG